AATGCCGAGCTGAATGTGGCAGAACCAGACATTTTCCCTTAGAAAGGAGCAGAAGATAGCAAAACGCGTCACCTGAGAGTGTCCACAAGAGAAACTTGGGAGGAGCCTGAGAGGCCGCTTGGCTGTGTCCGAGAGGGAGCCTGGGGAAAACAGCACAGGCACAGCCTGCCTCTGAACGGAGGCAGAGCCCTCTGGGTCTTCAGATGAATTATAGTGCACCGAATGATTTTTCCTACAAAGTTAATACTTTTTCTCCTTCAGAATCTTTTTTTTTTTTTTTTTTACCACTGAAGCAATTAAAATATTCATTCAGCATATTGTGCTTTAAAAATCTGAACCGCAAAGATCAGCAGGCGTGTTTTCATTCTGTCGTTCCTGATATTACTCATCATACCAGAACACTCGTGTATTTTTTAACTGCGTTCTTTTTTCCATCAGATCTTGTTTCTTTTTGGAGGTTGAAGTGTGAAGCTCAGTGGTTGGTTCACCTTTTGTGGAACTGATGCATAAATTTTTGTTCCTAGTCTGTTTCAATAAATGTCATCTATTTTGTTATGTAGGTGGCTCTTCATGTAGTATGCTTGGGTTTGAGAATCTGGTTAGTAGAGGAAGTGAACATATTTTAATCTGAAGATTAAATGGTGATGGATTGTAAAAACAAGCCAACAAGCAACCCTACTCCCTACCCCTCCCAAATAAACTTGGTAATTTTTTCTTAGCTTGGAAGGGAGAACATTATTTCGTTGCAAGTCATCCTGTTCACATGGGTAGAGTTTTGACCAATGAGATGTACTGCAATGTCTTTTCTCTTTAATTTGTTTTTCTGGTTTCTGAACTGAAAGATGTCATGGTTTGCCTGAGCAGCAGAAGCATGGGCTCTCAAAAAGATCAATGAACTTTTCCACCTGAAGTTGATATTTTGTACCAATGTCTATTCATGTATTCACTGCGTGTAGTACTGGCTGCTGTATATTGCTCAGAAAGCTGGACATAGTATACTGATATAATGCCTATTTAAGGGAAAATATTTTAGTTTAAACACTGTCACTTTGGCTTTTAGCCCAAAGCTGTGTGGTAACTGTATGCACATTATTACATTGTAATTTAATACTGTAACATCTCAGTATATACACTTTTTAACTACAAACCTGATCTATTACTGCGTCTATCTGTTATTACAAAAATAGGAATATGCCAGATAAGCTGGTAGAAGAAAGAAGGAGAGAACTTCTATTTTATCAAGGAGTAATTTTGAACAGTTTGATTTTGGAACCTCAAAGGCTGAATCATTTCTCAGTCTTTATTTGCAGTGAAGCTTGTGTTAGATTCATGAAATGCCATACATCGATTATACTTAAATATTTTGAAGTTAGTAGATAGAGCATAAATTTCTAATAAATTTTAGTGTGCTTTGTTTAACCATTTCCTACTCCCAAGCCTTCCCCCCTGCAAAGATCCCCAAGAACTCATATGCCCATGCAAGAACAACTACACAAAGATTTCAAAACTTTGTCATCATAAAGTTTGATTCTAAAATTAATGCCTCACCTTTCTCTGCAATTTTGAGAACACTCTATAGCTGTCTCTCTTTTAGTGTTTTAGGGAAAATATTACTGGAAGTGGTAAAATGGCCAGCTGAAGTGCCTGGCTTGCTTTGCACCTCAGCCAACAACACATATGGAGAAACTTTCTGACAGACATGTCTGTATAACTTACTTGAAGCTAAAACATTATACTCCTTGTATATTAGTTATGAATCAGTCTAGTTTCTTAAATTAGATCCAAGACTGATTACTGTTTGAGGAGCAAATAGTGCCAGAGAACACAAAGGATGGACTTGTGGCAAACAGATTTTATAATAAGTATTTCACGGTATTCTTTATCTTCTCGATCGTTTGCCTCAAAGATTTGCTTTTTCTAGAATGATATTTTATATAAGATATTCCATTGGAAATCGATTTCGTAGGCCACCTTAGGAATGAACAAGACTTCTGTGTCTGCGTCACTTAAGGGTCTCCCTCAATCGTAACAGAACAAACTTTCCATGATTTATCCATCATGCTTGTCTTTATGTTTGTGTAGACTTACTCCTTTTCTTTTCATCTTTGCTTTTCCCAATTTTGTTAATATAACATCCTTACAGAGACTACAGTAGCTGCTCACATTCCAAGTAATTAAATGTACAAGGAGGGACTCCTAAAAACTTTATTGCATTAAGTGCGTTTTTGTGTTTGCCATGGTCTTGTGGTTTTTCCTCTAGCTTGTGATGCGTTACGCTCTGAAGCAGGTGATGTTTCTCCAACGCAGGAGAAACCCTTGCCAAGGCAAACTTTGCTGAACCTTGAGAAATCTTACTGAGGCAACTCTCATGACTAACTTTTGGCAAATTTTACAAAGGTTCAGGTTTGTCATTGTACAGTTATATTGTCCCAGAAAAAAATAATATGAGGAATCAAAGCAGTGTAACATAGCAGCTTTGCAGGACTACCAACATACTTTTGCTGGAGCATCGCCCACAAAAACTACACCTTATTTAGTGCTGGTGTTCATTCCCTAATTTTATGATTATCACTTTGGCCTGTTTCAGATAAGAAGACAAGGCGGAATACAATTACTGGTGGACCTATTGGACCATCGGATGACAGAAGTCCACCGTAGTGCCTGTGGAGCTTTGAGAAACTTGGTATATGGGAAGGCAAATGATGACAACAAAATTGCTCTGAAAAACTGTGGTGGTATCCCAGCATTAGTACGGTTACTCCGCAAGACTACAGATTTGGAAATCAGAGAACTGGTCACAGGTTTGATTCTTTCAGTATTTTTTATTCTGGTCACAGGTTTGATTCAGTATTTTTTATTCTGGTCACAGGTTTGAATCTTTCAATATTTTTTGTTCAAACTCTATATAGGCCGTGCAAGCACAGTTCTGTGCTGTGTGCCGCTTGCTCCATCAGTAAGTCTTCATTTTATTACCTTCTTCTTTGCCGTAGCAAAACACTTTCAAGCCCTTTGGATATAGGTAATGTATGAATTGCTTTATTCGGTACTATGCAGACAGTTCACTGATTCAGGCATGGTTTCTGGTTATGCTTGCTGGTCACTCTGTTCTTGATAAGCCGTGAATGCTCGTACGGGCGATGTTCTCCATACACAGGTCCTACCATCAGCCGTGCTCTGCTCTTCCTCCTGTCTGGTATAGGGCTGCATATGCAGAAGTCAGATTTTACTGAATTTTCTTAGAAGCTGTTAATAATTTCTTCTATATCCTATATAGTGAGAAGGAGGATTTGGTGGGGTTTTTTACTTTTTTTTGTGGTTATGATAGGAAAATGGAAAAGCAGGTTGGATGGATGGACAGCATCCTCTTCTGAAGCCTTTTCTCTGAAATTTGATAGCCTGCTATGCGATGTATGTTAGTTGCAGGCCATGCTGGTAGTGGTAAAGTTGATTTCTTTTCTTGATATAGTAGAATCTGATCTTTTTAAGGTTGTTTGGACCTTTTCCCTTACGAAACTAAAGTTGGGCTTTTTTCATAAATACAGAAATACTGTCAAACAGCACCAATCTGAAATGTTTGGAGATTTCTTTCCCCTAAGCTATCCCATTTAAAACCCCAAAAAGAAGCTAGATGGTTGTTTTCTTTTGCTTTTTCACTTTGTAATTTCATTCTGCTTGGTTGCTGACATCAATGTGGTGATTAATTTAATGCTACAAATAAAAAATCTTAAGATGTTTTCATTATCCTATTTTACAATGCCTGTATTTCCATTATGATTTTCCTGCTAAAATCTGTCAGAAAAGTTCTCATTTCTGTCATAGAAGCATCACAGTACACAGTATTGTCTGTGTTTCTTCAGAAATCACTTACCCTTGTGGGTCAGGCCTTGTTTAGGATACAATTCGTAAGATTATTGTCCTTTGGTTGACTCCAGATTCCTTCCTTGAGAGTGTCTGAATAAATGGCGTAATGTAGATTTTTATGTTTAGTTTTGTTTCTTAGTTACTAACACCTATCGCCTCGTACTTGTTAGGCAGGATTAATGGGGCAGAGATACTGGGTTACACGAGCTCGGATGGTCCCTCCTGCAGAGTGACAGAATTACTGACAGATCTAATAAAGTGTAACCACCGCTTCGGATTCAACATACTTGTTTGTCTGTTGGTTATGTTGTCTGTGTCCTGGCTCCAGGGAACATTCTGCCTATTTATTCTGAGTGGTAAGTGGCAAACTGCTAATGAACATCAGCAGTACACCTCAGCAGTCACAGCGGCACTTCCCATGCTGTCTGTAGACTGAACACGTAATGTCATTAGGTCATTTAAAGAACAGGTACTAGGCTACAGTTTACATTCCTTCCATTGCACAGTATGTGGCTAAATTTTCATTAATTCCCACAGAATGAAAGGATGTGTTTGCTAGCATGCCCTCAAACTGTTACTCCCGAGAAGAGTAGGTACTGACCATCAATGGAAGGCGGTAATCAGCCTTTGTACAGGTAGGTGCAGCTCCCAGGGATGGTGAGCATCAGGAGCGCTGGACATCTCTGAAGGGGGAGCAGAGCAAGATGGTGACCCTAAGGAATAGAATCAAAGTCAGTAGTATTTCAAGATTTTATTCCTGGACCTGGTTTTGTATTGGGGTTTTTTGTTTGTTTTTAATAACCAGTACATCCCAGAAGGCCACTGCTTGCCCTGGCTGGGTTTTGTGCCTTTCAGAATGCACATCACTGGCCCTTGCTTTAAAAATGCAAACCTGGTAGTGGTAATGCTCTGCAAAGCTCCTTTTTTTGAAAGCGACACTCGTAGCTGCACCTCTCATCTTGCATCTCTTAGGAAGCAGGCTGGAATCGTGCATCTGAATCAGTTCTCGTTTGCTTTTTTCTAAAGTGTTGTAGTGACGGCTGCCCCAGTTAAATTCCTTCCCTATGTCCTTTCTGGGGAAGAAAAGATAGCTCCTGCAGCAGCTGCCTCAGTAATGAAAAAAAATTGGCTTGGTGGTGGGCATAAGGGAAAATAAAAGAAGTTCCTCCTGCTTCCTGTCAGCCTTCCTGATTGAGGTGAGAGGAAGATAGTTATTTCAGTAGTGCCACCGTAGCCTGAAGGACGTACGGAGAAAATAATAGCAAATGTGTGGTTTAGGAGTAAACATAATACCTTGAGCCTTTCCATCTCATGTTCATTGTGCATCCTGTCCACCTAAAACCTGTTCTTGTTTGTTACTTCTAGAGAGGGCACAAAGTTCCTGAAGTTCCTGCCTTAGGAATGCATATATACAGCTGTGACAGCTGCCCCTAAATACTCCTCCAGCGTTTGTCCTCAGAGCACTTCTCGTAGGTGGGGAAGTGTCATTATCTCCGTCCTACGGATGGGGAACTGAGCCTATCAAGTCTAAATGACCTGTCCAGAAATCTGGCAAGAGGAAGGTGTGAATCACTCTGAGTAGGCACTTAGCTGCGAGGGAAGAAATACAGGCAGGAGAGGTTTTTAGCAGCTCAATTTGTCTGAACAGTAGTGAAGCATTCATCCCCTGCCTCAAGTACCGTGAAGCACATGCCCGCCAGAGCAAAAGTTACGAACTAACAGTTCCTTCTTCAAACATGCGCATTTTCTTCCTTCTTGTTGCTTCTCTCTAAGGAGATTATAATTTCAATTTCCAGCTATCTCAAGACTGGTTTTGGAAGGATATTTAAAGCTGCAGACCAGCTTTCTATCGCAGTAGTTCCTTGCTTGTCAGGATTGCCTTCAGTGCCGTTTGTGGCTTTTCCTCTTTTCCAGAGATTTTTATGCCATAATCTCTCCAAAATGGAGGTTTTCACTTTTTCCCTTATCTCATCTGTCTCCTCCTTGGTAGCAGGGGACTCAGGCTAATATTGGAAAACTTCACCATGCTCATATTTTTTGGATTGGACAAGCTGAACCTTATTGCAAAGTGATAGAGCTTCAAGACTTTTTCACATGGAGCAAATGGTTTCGGTGCAGGCTCACATGTAGAAGCCATGAGGGAAGTTTGCTGCCTGGCTGTTATGAAATTAAATGGTCTTAATGCCCAGGAAATACTTCCTGAAATATTGAAAGTTTACTCTTTCAGAAACACTTCCACAATCACTGTTTTTTTACAAGAAGAACCTGGATAAGCTGAAGTATACCAAGGAATATATACATTTACACAGAGGTGAAATACGCTGATAGACATAGAGATTTCAGCACGGCCTGCGGCCTCTCGTAATTTTCAGAGAGTCAAGGAGAACCTGAATTAGAATGTCTTGTTTCATGTAGGTCTGTAAATGAAAAGAAGTCGGTATGAGCTGGATGCACTGTATTTAATTAAGCCATCCTTTCACCCCAGCGCTGCACTACTAGGTTCCACAGTAGCTGCTGTTAATGGGAAAAAATAAAAGCCTTCTATTTTAAAACAATTAAATGTTAACACTTTTCCAATAAATATAAATAGACAAGAACACAGTACAAAATTAGCACAGATTCCACAGATGGTAGAAAAAAATGTTTTCACTTCTTAATAATGAAGACAAGTAGCTGGTTTGTGACTCCTTTGCCTTTCCAGTGTTAAAGTTAATTATGAACCCTTCCACAAAATCCAATTTTAGCATTATTTTTATTTGTTTTACTCTCAGGAAAAAAAAGTGACATGAAAAATGTGAACTGTTAGCAGGGGTAACAGAGGAATCCTGTTGATGCCTTGCGGAGAAGGTGAGGTCAAGCAGCTGTTGCTAGATTCCACCTACACCGGCTCCTTGTTCCATCAGCTCCATCTGCTAGCTGGGTACCTGTCTCAGACAAAATGATTTAAACTGCTATTCTTCTCCTTTTGACAGACAAAATCCCTCACAACTAGAAACACAGTTTCTACCTATGAACAACAAGCTAGGTGAATTAGAAGAATCTCCATTTAAAGAGGCCCTTTATGTGGCTGTATCACCCATTTTCAAACTATATACCATATTTGATTGAAAGGTAAATGATCCACTTTTAGAAAGCACAAGTTGATAAAGAAATATAGCTATAAATAATGAGGAATGTTTTTTTCCCTGTGCTAGCAGCCAGCCTGCTGCTTGTTTTGGTTGACATTACTGTGTCGGAGATTTAACTCTTGTCTACCGAAAATATATAAATTATGAAAATTACCACATTTACAAAAAAATTTAAAAAGCATAAGCTAACACTTTACACATATACTATATATAGATAGACAGATAGATGTAGACTCTGTATATTTCATTCACATTTTTATTCACTGAATCAAAAAGCATATATTCCATTCCTGCAAAATACTGTAAGACGTTTCGTACATAACGTTCCTTTCAAAGAAGCACTAGTTGTCCAAGTGTGTTTGGCCCATGGTCAGATTGGACAGGAAAAAATTTTCTTTCACTTCCCGGATTTTGGATTCCAATATTCATTAATGTTGTCTTTAATTTCAGCTGTGGCCAGTTTGTGTTTTGGCTTGGTTGGTCCTCTGTTGTCACCTCATGTTACGCAACATTATTATGTAGTTGATTTACATTTCTTTTCCATTTTCAGTAGATGCCAGGCGTTTATAATGAGGCATTTATAACCTTATAGTTAGTCTGTCAGCATTACTGAAAGCAATTATATGTTGTCCTCCTTATATCTGTCTAGTTTGAGGTAACCACTGCAGTTTAAACCTCCTTTTGATTGCATACTGCTTATTAGTATGTGCATAAATTGTTGGCAGGTTGGTCAAGACACTCCAGAAGGTCCCTTTCAGCCTTCTATGTGTCTTTGCTTATCAGTGTAATTGCGAGTTAGTGAGCCTGCAGTG